TCATCCAGCTCTACACCTTGTTATCTGGATATCTCCTGATCACATGGATAGCAGTCACTTAAGAAAGTGGCTTACCACATTCTCAAGGGTACATCTTGGCATCAGCAACAAATGCCAGCCTTTACAGAGATGCCCATATGCTGAAAAATAATGTTTATGTGCAGTAGTTATGGTGCTGTTCCAAAGATTGCAATTTAAATTCCACCCACCACTAGTGGTCCAGCACAGGGATCAGTGCTTGAGCCCATTATTCAATATATAGATAAATGAGCTGGATGAGGGAACCAGATGCAATATTTCCAAGTTTGTTGACAACACAAGGTCAGATGGGATTGTGAGTTGTGAGGAGGATGCAAGGGTGATCTAGACAAGTTGAGTGTTTGGGCAAATACATGGCAGATGCAGTATAATGTGGATAAATGGAGTTATATAATTCAGTGTGAAAAACCAAAACCGATATTTAAAGGCTGGTCTATTGGGATGTGCAAAGGGATCCAGGTGTCCTTTTGGAGTGGTCAGTGAAAGTAGACAGGCAGGTACAGCAAGCGGTTATGAAGGATAAAGCGACAGTTGGTTCTGCTGTAACATGATAGTTGTGTCATGTGCAACAGCGCATCATAGCAAATTGCATGATAGAAATATTGGAGTCTTTGGGAAAAGTGGGGTTAGGGGCAGACCACCAAGGAAAAAATCACTCAAAAGCCTAACACAAAGGATAGCACAGTTCGAATAAACGTTTAATTCATATCTAATACAAAATAAAAAGTAAATTTAACACCCTACCTTGAAAACATTTCAAGATGACTTGATGGGGGAGGAGGTTTTGAAGTTGCTGTGTTGTTAATGCAGGGACTGAGGGCCAGTGCAGAGGTTCTTTTGGTGCTAACATTCCACATGCTCAGGACAAAGCCCATGAAACCATCGTGTGATGTTGATGTGTGCTCCTCTGCACACTGATGGAATCACATTATAGCCAACACAAGTTCACATTTTAAAAATCACGTTCCCCTATTCGTCAGTCGCATTATAGCCAATTTGCGTTGCCGGAACACGCATTATAGCAGAACCGACTGTATATTGGTCTTCATTATAAGCGTATTTGAGTTCAGAAGTAAGGATGTGTTACTGTAGTTAAACAAGGTAAGACTGCACCTGGAATATTGTCGCCCGATTTAACAGAGGATATACCTGCCATGGAGGGACTGCACCTGACGTTCACTAGGCTGATATGAGGGATGGCAGGACCGTCCCATCTGGAGAGATTGGTTTGACTAGACCTGATTTCCTTAGAGTTTAGAAGGATGAGATGGGATTCTGATTGAAATGTATAAAATTCTAACAGGGCTGGACAGACTAGATGCAGGGAGGATGTTTCCCCGACTGGGGAGTCTTGAACTAGGAACACAGTCTCAGGATACAGAATAGCCATTTAGGACTGAAATGAGGAAACATGAGACTGCTCACTCTGTGGATACACTATCACATAAGGCCAGGCCACTAAGTATATTCAAGAAAGAGCACTTGTCCTTTGGGGAAGGGAATTCAGCCTGGCCTGTAGTTGACCCAGTCTCTCACTTTGTGGTTGACTCTCTTTACATTCTGAAGTGGTTTGGCAAAGCTAATGTATTACATAAGCAGTCTCTAGGAATTAGAAAGCCTTTGCTAAAAAGATGATGGTGGACAATAATTGATGTTTCACCAGCATGGCCCTCATCCACAGAGTGAAACCACAATTAAATAAAACTAATTGCAGAGCAAAACTTCACCACCTTGCTTGAGTTAGCCTCTGTTTACAGTAGCCGTTGTCTGATGGCTTCTCTGTGCCCACCTCTCAAATGTGTTCATAGAATCTTATGGAGACCCTTGTATCAATAATCTATTGATGTCATTTAATCTCCAATATTTGTCTCACATCAGCCAGCTTACTCCTAGGGACATCATATCCAGTCTAACTCTAGCCTCTTCCATGCTCACTGTATACACAGATCCTTAAAGCACTTGATAGGATGAGGAGCTGAGACCCTGGTTTTCTGTCTCCTTTTCCCTCCCAACCACCCTTTTCAATGCCAGTGGCACCGAAGCTAGTGTGTTGCCCTCTTGACTGAGATCACGAAATCAACAGCAACTCTTGTCCAAACGTGCTGAGCAGTCCGTTTACCAAATGAAGCCAGTGACAAGCTGACATTCTGTGAAAGTAGAAGTGGCTCAATGAGCAAGTATCTGTAGAAATTAAATCAAAATTTAAAAACCACAAATGCTGGAGATCTGAAATAAAAACAGAAAGTGCTGGAAAATCTCAGCAGGTCTGGCAGTGTCTGTGAAGAGAGAAACAGTTAATGTTTTGAGTGTGGTATAATTCCTATTGCAGAAGAAGGTGATGCCAGACCTGCTGAGTTTCTCCAGCACTTTGTTTTTATCTCTGTAAGCACTGCCAATCTCTACGTGTCACCTATCCCCTCTCTAGGTTTTGCCAACTTGTATGAAAATGTGGAGGTCTTTCTAAAGCAACAGGGAGTGGACATCTGGCCGTGAGTATTATTTGTTTTATTTAATATTGTACTGTGTAATTACAAATATTTCTCCTTAAATTTCCCTTGGTTCAGTGGGTATCCCGAGTCAGAAGTTCAGATCCCACATCGGTGACTTGAACCTATAATCCAGGCTGACCATCCCAGTGCAGTACTAAGGGAGTGCTGCATTGTCAGAGGTGCAATTCTTTGGATGAGATTTTAGCCTGAGGCCTTGTCTGGCGTCTCAAGGGGACTTGAAAGATTTCACAGCTTCTCATCTGTGAATAGCAGGGATGCTATTCCTGGAATTCTGATCAATATTTATCTTTCTATCAACATCACTGAAGCAGATTATCTGATTATTACTACATTGCTAATTGTAGGAGGTAAGGTCAGTTAACTCAGATGATGATAGTGAGTGTGAGGCTTGATAACGCTGATGGTTTGGGTTCAATCCTCAGACTGGCTAAGTTAGTTTTGCAACCTGCCACCTGTACTTGCTTCTTTCCTAATGATGGTGCAGCAGTAGTGTCACTAGTTTAGTAATCCCCAGACCAGGCGAATGCTCTGGGGAAACACTAAATAAAAATCGAAAGAACTACTGGTGCTGTAAATCGGAAACAAAAACAGAAGTTGCTGGAAAAGCTCAGCAGGTCTGGCAGCATCTGTGAAGAAAAAAAAATCAGAGTTAAAGTTTCGGGTCCGATGACCCTTCCTCAGAACCAGTTCTGAGGAAAGGTCAGTGGTCCTGAAACGTTAACTCTGATTTCTCGCCACAGATGCTGCCAGACCTGCTGACCTTTTCCAGCAACTTCCGTTTTTGTTAGTGCTCTGGGGAGACAGATTCAAACCCCACCACAGCAACTACTGGAATCTAAGTTCAATTAAAAAAATCTAAAAATGGCCATGAAACTGTGATTGACTTTTTTTTTCTGCAAGCACTAATGTCCTTTAGGGAAGGAAATCTGCTTTCTTTACCTGGCTCCACACCCACTGCAATGTGGCTGATTCTTAATGCCCTCTGAAATGGCCAAGTGAGACACTCTCTTCAAGGGCAATTAGAGATGGGCAACAAATGCTGGACTTGCCAGTGAATTAATTAAAAAAAAATTGTGATACAGTTGCATTATTGAACCGCAATCAGTGAGCCTCAGATATTGGGGAATCTATCTGAAGAGACTGAGAATTATTAGAGTTTGCAGTGTGCAATGTTTGCCTCATTTCCTACATAACAGCTTTAAAATTCCTTCATTGGCTTTAAAGTACTTTGAGACGTCCTGAGAAGGGAAAGGCATTTTTTTAAAAATAGTTTTGCAATCAGGTGCTTAGTCAGGAAGCTGTTGAGATAATGATTCAAGGAATTAAACCACAATCCAGCCTGTTCAGTACCAAGGAAGTAACTGCATTGACCAGTGAGATGTTGAACTGGGCCCCATTTGCTGATAGATGAAATCTCATGGCACCACTTCGGGGAGAACAGGTACCACTCATCCCTCAACAAACACCTAGAAAATAAAAGAATGCAGGTGCTTAATCAGAGAATTGTACAGATTTGATAGAGGCCATTCAGCCTATTGGCCTGCACTAGCCCATCTGCTGGTTATTCTCACCTTAGCCTCTGTCTAAAAATACTCAATCAAGGTCTATTAGCCCTAAACTGTGCTCACCTCTAACCCTCCATGCCACCTCCATCAAATTTGTTTGTGTGACATATCCACTTGGATACAGGGTAACATGCATTTGTTTCGATTTCAGCTACTCAATCTCAAGACTCATCTTTAAGCTTGTACTAGTTGGGCTTTCATCATTTATTGGAGCATGTTTAACCTTCCCGGGCCTCCGACTGGCACAGACCCATTTAGATGCTCTCAAGATGACTGCGGACAAGCCTCTCATACAGTAAGTATTTCAGCAGAGCCTGACTATTGTTGTGGTGCTTGACAGAATGAAAGTTGTGGTGAGATGTGAATGGAGAAGAGAATGGAGCAAGAAATAACAGAATCACAGAAAGTTTATGGCGCAAAAGGAGGCTATTTAGCTCATCATCCCTGTACCTGGTTCCAATTTCCTGCTATTTCCTATATGTCTGCACAACATTTTTATCCAAGTAATCATCCAATGCCCTCTTGAGTGCCTCAATTGAACCTGCATCCACCACATTTCCAGGCGGTACATTCCAGATCCTAGCTACTCGCTCAGCGAAAATGTGATTCCTGACTTCCCCTTTGCTTCTTGAGCAGATGATTGCAAAATGTTCAGCACCACTCGCGACGCCTCAGTTACTGAAGCAGTCCATGTCCAAATGCAACAAGACCCAGACTATTTCCAGGCATGAGCTGAAAAGTGACAAATAACATTCGCACCACTCAAATGCCAAGTAATGACCATCTCAATAAGAGACAATCTAACCACCGGCTCTTAATATTCAGTGGCGTTACTGTCACTTTAAATCTGTGCCTTCTCATTGTTGTTCCTGTTATGAGCAGGAACAGTTTCTCCATGCCTACTCTATCCAGCATGCTGATGATGTTGAAATGGGCCCATTGAGTGAATTTCTTCTGCAGCTCAGTTCCAATCTTTCTCAAACTAAATCAGTTTCGGCTCTGAAAGAATCAGAAGGTACAGCCTTCTCCTGAGGTAAAAAAAAATCCTCATTCCTGAACTTCACTGGCCCCTACATGCAGCACAAAAAGAGATGAAATGTTAAACTGGGGACACCAACGACCAGTTTAGCAGATGGGAAGGATTTTGCTCAATAATCACTCCTGTGCAGCTCCTTGAGATGTTTGGCTATATTAAGGATATGGTAAAAATGCAAGCTGTTGTTGTTTAAGCTGCACACTCTATCCAAAGCTTTAGAATATCTCTCCCCAAATCTCTCTCGTTTTGCCTCTGCCTTTTTAAGTTCTTTGGTGCCTTTGTGCAGGGTTCGTAAGACTGGTTGAGTTTTATTTAATATTGTTACAGTTGCTGTCTTTTCATTGTTTCTTATTCCTGCCCTTCTCCTAGGATCCTCCTTCAGGCCAACTTCCTGTCTCCCATCGTTGTGTTGTTGCTGTGGGTTAAACCCATCACCAGGGACTTTGTGATGAAAACTCCACTTGGAAAAGAGCACGTACAGCTGTGAGTGCCCAGCAATGCCTTGCGACATCAGAGCTCCTTCCTGGGTTTCCTACCCTCTGACAACTAACTACTCGTTCACATCAAAACAGTGTTAGCTCCAAATCTCTCAGTATTTCTTCAGTGGTGAGCAATTGATATGTTAATGTGCAGCAGAATCTAGTTGGTCGTCCAAATTCATAAGTCACTGAAAGTTAATGTGCAGAGGGAGCAAGTGATTAGGAAGGCAAATGGTGTGTTGGCCTTTATTCGAAAGGATTTGTGTTTGAGAGAAAGGATGTCTTGCTGTAACTGTATAGGCCTTTCTGAGACTGCGTTAAGTAACCAAACTTCTACCCAACCTGCACCCCCAAGCCATTTGTACTTCCTGTTGTAGCATCAAGGGGAGACCATTCAGCCTGTTAAACCTATTCTATTCTTCACACAGTTGATGGTTAATTTATTCTCAACTCCATCCATGCACCTTGGTCACATGATCCTTAATACTGTTACCCAATAAAATCTTACCACTTTGGCTTTGATATTTTCAGTTGACCTCAGTAATTTTGGGGAGAGACACTTCCAGACTTCCACCACCTTCAGTGTGAAGTAATGTTTCTTGACATTACCTCTGAATGACTTAGTTCAAATTTTAAGTTTCACTCCCCTTGCTCTCAACTGTCTCCTCCCACCACCCCCAGCTCCCAGCAAAATAGTTTCTTCAGAAATGGTCAGAGGTTTGCAGTGGAAGAGAGATCCACTGAGTTCTTTTCAGAGGGAGGAGGATAACTTCTTTAAGGTGGACGTCCTTCGAAGAGGCTTCACAGTGGGGTTATAACTCACTCCGAGATAGTAAGAACTGCCGATGCTGGAGTCAGAGATAACACAGTGTGGAGCTGGAGGAACACAGCAGGCCAGGCAGCATCAGAGGAGCAGGAAAGTTGACTTTTGGCTCTGGATCCTTCTTCAGAAATGGCCCGAAACATCAACTTTCCTGCTCCTGTGATGCTGTTCTTACTATCTCCCAGCAGAATATATTGTTTTTTTTCTCCCTATCTCGTTGTCTCTCTTTTTACTACTTTAACCTTCTCAATTAAATCTTCTGCCTTCTGAATACTGATCAACAATGTTGTAATGCTATACTGTTCTCACTTTGGGCTCCCTTGCTCATTTGATTCTGAAGGATGTCTGAGACAACGTACAACAGCATGCGTCTGTGGATAATCATCGCTCTGTGCACACTGCGCCTGACCATGACCCGCTACCACCTGCAGGCATACCTGAACCTGGCAGAAAAGTGGGTGGACCTAATGAAGAAGGAAGCTGGAAACATCCCCATGATTGAAATTCAGAGGAAGGTACATTTCAGGAAATATGGGAAATGAGCAAAAAGCTGCAGATGCAGAAAATCTGAAATAAAACCAGAACGTGCTGGAGAAACTCAGCAGGTCTAGCAGCATTTGTGGAGGCAGAAATAGAGTTAACGTTTCGAGTCCAAGGCATTTCCGAAGCACAGTCAGATCAGACTTGAAAGGTTGATTCTGTTTCTCTCTTTCCACAGATGCTGCCAGACTCTCTAGATTTCTCCAGCATTCTTCTGTTTTAAGAGGAAGAGGATTTATTTGGTCCTGTATGACCCAGTGTGTGTGTTGAATAATAATATAACTCTGGGGGGGAAAAGAAATTTGAAACGTTCATATCAAATATCCAGGTTAAGTCTTCTAAATTAACTTTTGGTGCCGGAATTTTCTTTACATTTTCAAAAAAGTCTGTAATCTCAGGACCTACTTGAGAATAATTAGCTTCCAATTTATACACAGAATGGAATCTAAATAGAGGGAGTGGGTGGTTTGTGTAAAGAGTA